AGCAAATAAAAAAATAATATTTTTGAGTGTCACGTCATTTACTACAAATTCGAAATTTATCATACTTAACTTTTTTTAATTAAAATAATGATAAAATCAACTATAAAAAATCACTGAATTATTTGCATGAGTAGTACTTATTGTTTAAGCTTTCTTTTTTAATATTTTTATTCGAACCAATGTTAATTATTTATTTAATTTTTTTAAAAATATAAATAATATTAATCATAAATTATTATGAGAATGAAACTTTTATTTTAAGACCGTAAAAGATTGCAACATGAAAGTTTAAAATCTTTGCATCCTCTTAAAAATAAATTATTTTTGTGTTAAATAAATGATTAAATAAAAAACTTTATTAAAGATTATAATAAATGGAACTTTCTTTTTTTTTTTTTTTCATATTTATATGGAATTTGGTAAAATGTAATTAGAAAATATTATTTTATATGATATACATTGTAATATAATGTTATCTACAACATACATCTTATGTGTCTTTTAGAAATGACTCCATAAGGTACATGTTGCAAATTTTTTTAAAATAAAATTATTAAGTAATAATTAAAAAAATATATTACATTAATATCTTTAACATTATATCACTACTCAAACTATCAATAACAAATGTAAATAATAAATTAATATATCCCACAACAAAATAAATTCAAAAAGGCAAAAAAATAATAATAACAATTTAAAAATAGTATAACTAATAATAAATTGAACGTACCTCAAACATCACAACATTTAATTATAACTTTCCAACAAAAAAATATATTTTATATTTTATGGTTACTACAAATAAAGGAAATTTATTACTGACAAATGTGAAAATTAAAATTTTAATTTTGATAGAAGAATTCTATCTGCTTACATGAATTGATTACAACTACTTGGAATCTAACAATTAACATAAAAAAAAAAAGTTAATCAAAAATAAAATCACAACTATATTGTAAAAAATAAGAAAGACAAACTAACATAATATTAAACAATAGCTGTAACATGAAACTTATAAAATAACATGCGAGTAAAATTGTACTTTTTATTCTCAATTAAATTAATGTATAAATTTACTTATCTAGCTAATATAATTCATATGGAAATTTATTAAATAGATAAACTTAAAAATTAGTACAAAATAATACAACATGAATTTTGTAAGAAGTAAAGATATAATATAAAAATCTTTAACTCTTTTGACAAATCCATTTATAGAAAAGGAACATATAATTAATAGTTTTTAGAAAAAAATAATAAATAAGAGATTAAAATAATAAAAAATTATACCTTTACTCTAAGATTAAAAAATTCTTAAAAAGTGAAAATAAATAAAATTAATATATTAAAGAAATTAAAATATAAATTTTATAAGAAATAAAAAATTAAATTAAAACCTTTAATATTTTTTAGCTTTTCATCTATAAAAATGAACAGATCATTGATAATCCCATCAGGAAGATATCTTTATACAAAAATTATAAGCTTAGTTATTTAAATTAAAATCCTAAAAATCACTATTAAAAAATCTTTAAAATAAAAAAATAATAATAAAAATATTTTTTAAGGAACTAAAAAAATATATATTTAATCTTTCTCAATATTTCATCCATAAAAAGGTAAAACACTAAAAATTACTCTAAAAATCTTTAAAATAAAAATATAATAAAATATGAATTTTATAAAGAAAAAAATAAATTAAAAATATTTAATATTTTTCACCTTTTATCTATAAAAAGGACGAGATTGTTAATGGCTAAGTGTTGTATAAAGACAAAAATAATAATAAAACAATAAAAAAATCTTTAAATTGAAGATTGAAAAAAATTCAACAAGATTAAAATAAATACAATTAAAATTTTAAGAGATTAAAATATAGATTTTAGAAGAATAAAAAAAAAATACTCTTTTAACTTTTAGATTAAAAAATATTGAAAAAATATTTAATTTTTTAAATGAATTCGTTGTCAGGAAACACAATATAACTCAAATACAACTATGAGCTTAAGAAAATGTATAATAAAATTAATAAAGAAACCATTAATTCAAAAATTATAATATTTTTAAATAAATCAAGTCATAACTACTATGAAAAGAATTAGGAACTAACAAAATAGTGAAAATGTCATAAAAAAAATATAACTATTAGCTATCAATGAAATAATTATAGCAACTTAAAATTTATTTTGCAATTTTTATGTATTGACTATTCTTTGAAACTCTTAGCAATCAAAGAAGTATAACAATTTGAGATTCATTTCTCAAAACTAAGTGTTTATTTTAATACTCAAAAATAAAATTTTCCTATAGATTAATACTTGTAAATTTTTCGCTAAAGCAAAAAGAAATGATTAAAATAATATTTAATAAAAATTTATTTTTTATAAATAAATCATCATTCATATAATATTGTCAATATAAAAAACATTTAAAAAAAACTTAAATCTTGAAGGCATAACATCACGGAATTTATGGACTCGTCACCAAAAGTTTGATAATGAAACAAATTTATGAGAATAATAATACCAATAATATCTAATGAAAAATTTTGAAATAAAAATTAGAAAAAGAAACAAAACAAAACTCAAAATCCATAATAAATTATAAAAAGAAACTATTAAACACTTATATAAGTTGAACTCTAATCAAAATAATAATAACTAACTAAAATAATATATCATGGAATATTTATACTTTCATCAAGCATCTTTTTGATAATGATAACAATACAATTAATCATATCATTTGCAATTATTATTTGACAATCATTTTTATTTTTTATAATAGAAAATTTTTAATATAATATAAAATTCCTTCCTAAATCTTATTCTTCAATCTATATATATTAAAACTTTAAAGAATATCACGAATAGACTTATTCATGGGTCGCGCAGCCCGCCTTAACCCAAAAGCTTGCTTGAAATTTTGAAAGATTTAAACATGAATATTAAATCCGTTAAATGGGTTTAGAAAATAGATAAAATTCGATTAAAAATAGGATCGAGCTTGGATTTTACCATTTAAAGTTCAGATTCGGCTGGCTTGACCCAAAAATTAAAAAAATATTTTTTATTATAATGGGATAAAATCCATTTGTTTTATTTTTTATAATGGACAATGTCTATTTATTTTTTTAATTATAATATGATAAAACTCATTTTTATATACAAAATAATGATATAATTTTAAATTACATTTAATAAAATTAAATTGGACTCAAACTCAAGTGACTCATAAATTTAATTAAAATTAATTAAATTAGTTAAATTAATAATTTATATAAAAAAAACTATTTTTCCTAATTTTAAATACTAGTATTTTGGGCATGTTTTATTCAATTTTAAATATCTTTATTAGTATATGAAAAAACGAGTTTGGACAAACATTGAGACCAGAAAAATCAAGCTAGATTAGATTTGAGCTTGCTTAAAATGTTGAAATATCATGTTAGGTCTGACTTGAACCTGGCCCATGAGCAAGTCTAATTATGAATATAAAATTTTTACGTAACTATAAAAAATGATAAAATAAATCAAAGCAATGAAAATAAAAACAAAAATAAATTTATTTATCTACTTTTTGATCAACCAACATCATTTTTGTGCTAACAAGTTACTTAATCTTATAATTATAAATATCCTACAATCAATAAATATATTCAGATTGGATAAAAAATAAACTTTAAATGAAAAATATGACCATGACAAATATATATATATATATATATATAAACACCAACACTACAAAAATACACCCTAAAATTTCTTGAAATGCCAAATACAAAAAATTATAAATCATGACCAAAAAAGTAAAAATTACAAAAATACAAACACAATAAAAAAAACCCTACATGATTTGAAGAAAAAATATAATACATATATGAAATACACTTATACAACTTTTTCATCCTTAAAAAGAAGATAAAAAATTATAAGGTATAAGAAAATTAAAAATAAAAAATATAAAGGTTAGAAACCCAAAAACTTTAATAAATTTTAACAAGCAATGATTTTAAAAAACACGAATAAAAAAATAAAAAATCAAGAATTCATATAATATTAAACAACCAAAAGCTTATATGTTTATGTAATAAAATTAGAAAATATAAATTTAGAATTTATATAAAATACTTAACATTTATTATAAAATATTTGACTTTTATATATTTATATGATAGGATAGTTTTTCCGTTCAGAATAATTTTTTGTAATGTTATATTTTCTCTGACTTTTGCAATTAAAAGAAAAAAACCAAATGACAATTGAGTCACATTAATCACCTCTCTCCGTCTTTTGAAAAAAAAAAAAAAAAAAAACTCCTCACTCTGTGTTTTTAATGGATCGAGATTAAAAAAATTGACTTTCAATCTAGACCAAAGAATAATGTTTTTTAATAATTAATCATTTTTTTTTCATTTTAAACAAATTTCATAATCAATGAATATGTTTAGATAAACCTGACCCATTTTTATTTAAATTACATTTAAAAAAAAATCGAAAGCACAATTCGTGAATCTTATGATTCAACATTTATTTTGATGATTATTAAACTTTTAATTTTTTTTTCGGACCTTTTAATTCTTCTTCTCCAATTAGTTTTAATAATATAAAACACTTTTGAATTACTTTTTAATATAAAAAACGAAAAAATATAAATAAAAACTAGAAGATTAACGTCATCGCCTCTTCCAATCAGTACAACATAAAACTCGAACTTTTAGCTAGTGACTGAGAAACATACGAATTTGAACAAAATTTTAGCTAAGAGCAAAATTAATCCATTTGATATTGTTTTTATAATATTTGTTTTAACGTTCAACATTCATTAAAATTAATCCGTTTCAAGTGATGACCAAAACACCACATTTACGTGTAACAGTCAAATATTATTTTTTTTTAAAATAAAGGGGGTTAAGTTAATTTACAAAAAATAAAAAAGAGGGACTAAAATCATCATATCACTGTTGTATGGGGATGAAATTATTCAAGGCTTGAACCAATAATTGTGATTTTAGAGAAAATGAAAAAATCCAAAAGGAAGCGCATGGATGCGGGGAAGCCTGGAAGAAAGCAGACCTCATAGGAAGAGCCAGCCACAAACGAGCAGTCACCTGCCAAAATGGGCTCCCAAGCAGCACCATCGTCCTCTTTTCCCTCTCCCTTTTGCTGCTACACATATCTCAATCCATCTTCCTCTCCATTGTCATCTCTTAGACCCTTCCTACTCCCTCTCAAACATATCAATTCTTTTAAGCCACAAATTCCTTGTCTCAATTCTGCCAAATTCTTCAAGGCAAGGACCCGAGCTACCCTCGATGAGAAGGAGAAGGACCCACTCCTTGTTCAAGAGCAGCAGCCAGACAAAGTATGGTGTTCCTTTAATTCAACTGCTTGACTGACTGAATGCATTGATTTTCATAACCTGTCATCTTTTCCATTGTGGGTACATATAATAGGAAGTGGAGGCGTGTGTCAAAGTGTTGAAAAATGCAGCAAAAACTAGAAAAGTCCCAGCTGAGGAAGTTATGTCAGCATTTTCTGTTATTGAAAAGGCCGAAATCAATACCTCAAGGTTTCTTGAAACTCTTGGTGGACAGGATTCCCCTGGCAGAACCTGGATGCTCATTTTTACTGCTGAGGTTTCGTTTTATTCCCATCTTCCTTTAAGATGGCTTTAGTTTTATGTTTAATGCTATTAAGCTCCTTTGAATTGGGTTGTAGAAAAAATTGAAGGGCGGCCGCTACTTTCCTCTTACAGCTGTTCAGAGGTTCGATGCTGCTGTAAGCTCCTTAATCTCTTGTCATATTTCATGTCATATTTCAATGTTTTCCACCTTGTTGTGTCACTACTTTTAAATAATTTGATATACCAAGGACTGCTAGAATACAGAATATTGCAAATATTCCATATAGGCGGTTGAGGATTCAAGAATTAGGAAATGCAGAAATGATTTCCACTCCTCTGAAAATGGAAAGACAAAAAAGATGATAACAAAGAAGGAAAGAAAGGCCTTTTACATCTGCTTTCATGTGCATAATGCCTCCTGGAACGCATTAGCAAAAATGATTTAAAGTGCTGTTTTGGATGTCTTGTTGAATTCTTTCTTAAAGTTTAGCTTACTATCATATGGTTTTTAGTGTAGAATTATATATGGTCGGTTCATTGAATTACTTTCCTTTCCGTGGCTTCAACCTGTCTGTAGTTTATTGGAAATGACTGCCTTGTCGTGGAATAATTGTTAAGGTCGGGGGAAATTTGTAGGCTATAGAGAGGCTTTTAATCTAAGCTTGCAATAAACTTTCTTGTTTACGATGGTCGTTTGTGCTCATAGTTGATGCAATTCAATTGATGTATCAGAGGTGATATTTTGTTCGGTGAAAAATCTGTTTGAGGTTAAATTTGGCTTTGCTACTGCCTTTTTCATGTCAATACAGGAGAAAACAAGACTAGCTGTTCCTTTGCTTTTTGTCAATTTTAGAAACTAATGGATCATTGCTTGAACTGTTAGGCAAGGAGGATTGAGAATGGAGTATTTCTTGGACCAGTTGGGTTCTTAACCTTTGAAGGAAGATTTTCATGGAAAAACAGAATATTGTCCTTCATTTTTGAACGAATTAGAGTTAAAATTGGGCCTTTTAACCCTTTAGAGATCAGTCTTGGCCAGGAAGATAGAGAACCAAACACTAAGGACCCCTTCTTCATCTGGTTTTATGTCGATGAGGAAATAGCAGTTGCTCGAGGCAGAAGTGGAGGAACAGCATTTTGGTGCCGGTGTCATCGTGTTACTACTTGATATTTCTTTGAAATCTCTGAAAAATACACCCAAGTGTATTCCATGTATGAATTGATGATATTCCATTCCGTTCATAAACTGTACGTAACAAGACCTAGACCTGTTCCAAATGTAATCTATCTCTAAAGTCCTCGTCTCAGCTTAGTTGATTTTCAAAATGGCATACTAATTTTGTTTCAGAGTTCAATAGCATCCAAGCGTCTTCCTCCGTTATACTACAGAGAAGCTTGGAGCCACCATTTTTGTAGTTGGAACTTTCTCTGCATTTCTTCTAGATTTTATCAGTTTTTTCGCTAAACAGTGCTGTTATCCTCAAGCATTTCTCTTTAACATATTACCAGTAAATTTCCAGGCCACCGAGATTGATGTCAGAGAATGAACTTCTGTTACATATGCTTATTTATCTTTTCTTTAATTTCATTTTCCTTGTAAACTGGTTTATATTGTATTAGCTTTTTCTGCATTCCTCTGTTACGTCGCGTGAAAGTAAAATGTCTCAGGAAAATACTGAAATTACAATGGTACCTCTGCCGTGAAGTAGTAAATGATCGAACTTAAATACTAAAAACAGCAACTCTTGATAGGAACTGAACGTATTGCATGACAACTCAGTTTGAGTACTTGGATTCACTCCCATTCCTATCTGTTATAGATGACATATTGAAAACTTTAATTTTGGAACAAAACAACTGAAAACAAATGGTAAACCAAAACACCTCCCAATTATTTATTTATGGTTTTCTCTTTGGGGTTCCGAATAAAAAAAAAGATCCTGAGAGTAATCTCCATTTATTTCTTGGCCATGGGGAAAAGCACGAATTGAAAAAGATTTCAATGCCGGCTTGCTGCCCAGAAACGCAGGTAATTTGAGGTAGCAGTGAAGTGTGCTCAACCATCTTATCTCTAGGCGGAGGGCTTTCTTTGATCAATGGCGTTCCGATGAAGTGCTCTGCCCATTGATGAATCAGTGGCCACCTCTGGGCGTCAACCAACTTCTTCCATAACATTGAGCCAATGAGGGAGCGAACCAAGGGCTAGATCCAGATAGCCTATCTGTTCCCCACCAAAATATTTCTTCCCTTCAAGCTGCTTCACAAGAAATGCAAAGCCCTGAGGCATCTACTGCAGTTTCTATAGCTTTTGTTTACGATCTCCTAGAGCACGGCAGGCATCAAATGCACCAAACAAACACTGCATTTAAGAAACCAAAACTAAAAAACGACTTTAACCATTTAAAAATGGCTAGTCTAGAAGATTGAACGAAAGCGGTCTTGACGAAGTACCTTCTGTAACCAAGACACCGAGACAAGAGACCATTTCATTAATTTCACCAAACAGATATGAAAGCAAGTGTTGTCTCTCTGTGGAATCCAACATCAGGTGATTAACTGTCAACTTGAATTTCATAGGGCAAAAAGTACCTTGAAAGGTAAGTCTCTTTCAGCCATTATCCTTAAGCTTGCTTGGAATTCTTTAATCTATGTTGTTTGGATGGAATGGAAGCAAAGTGACACAAATGCAAGTATTTTGATGTTTACACAGTAAGATTTCGGCTGCAACATACTTAACGGTTTGCTGACAATGCTGTTAATCAGAGTTTATACTTGAATTGGGAACTTGATAAGCATATGTTTGATTAATTATTTGTTTTCTTTATTACTTGATTTACAATTGTAATTAATTCTTTGTAGCTTGAATCTTTTGCTATTTTATTAAAAAAGAACAAACTCATTCATCCGGAAAAAGTACCTTCTCATTGGCAAATTTTGCCCAAAACCGAGACATGGCTTTCTGATATGGTTCTTCAAGGAGCTAGGGACTGTCCTCCCATGCCTGCGCAATGTATTCAAGAATGATGAGTGACTCAGCAATCGGTTTTCCATTGCGCATATTAGAGCTCTTTCTTTCATCTTTTTCTCTGTTCAATCCAACTAAGTAGTCCAACTCCTAATTCTAGTATTGATTCTACACTTCTGCATAATCTTCTACAAAATTTCCTTGGTATAAGCACAATAAAAAACATATGATCCTCGGATTCATCCTCTTGTTGACACAAGCAACATCTGCCCTCTATCTCTATTCCCTAGCCTCTCAACTTGTCCTTAGTTGGGAGCCTATTCTGAATGACCATCCAAGAGATAAGTGAGTTCTTAGGAATATGGTATTTAAACCATAAAATCCTATGCCATTCGACTTTTTCCTTTTTTGGCCTAAGTTCATTCCGTATCATTTTGGCTGAGTAGCAGTCCCTTAGAATGGCCATAATTCTATGCCATTGTCTATTTTAATGAATTGTCAAGCTGTTGACCTCAGTTGGAGTAGTTTCCTCCAACACCAACTGCTGTTCTGTTGGGCTATCATTTGCCAAACATTTCTTCCTTTTAGCACATATTCTTCCATTGATCGTACTTTAGTAAGGATGGACCAAAGGTTCTTCAATATACAAGCCAGGTTCTATAACAATATGTCTTTGATTCCTAGCCTACCTTCTGCCTTAGGATAGCAAATTCTCTTCTATCTGACTCTCTCTCCTTTCATTGATCCCTTCCTTCTCTTCCAAAAAAAACTTAAACACATTTGAGTGATCTTCCTTAAGATGTGCTCGGGGAGTATAAAGTGCCTCACTAGTAACTTTGAACACTAAACAACACTGATTGAATAAGTTGCAGCCTTCCAGCATACAACAAATGTTTGACAGCCCAACTCTTCAATCTAGCTAAAATCTTCTCTAGCAAAGGTAAATAATCTCTCTCTTCCAACCTTTTGGTTACCAGTGGTACTCCTAAGTATCTTACTAGCAGCATACTCTTCTTGAAGTTAGAGACTTGTTGTATCAGTGTACGCTTCTCTCTGCTCATCCTTGAATGGCAAAGCTCACTTTTTTCACAGTTAAGTTGTAACCCAGAAATAGTATAGAAAGCCTTCAACACCTTCTTTATCCTAATCACAGAGTCCAAGCTCTTTTTTGTAAAAATCAATAAGTAATCCATAAAGCATAGGTAAGTAAGATTGATCTTTTTGCGTTTGGGGTGAAACGCGAACACTCCATGTTTAGTTACCGCATCAACAAGCCTTGATAGTACATTGATTGCCAAGCTAAACAGACAGGGAGAAAGAGGATCTCCCTGTCTTATCCCATGCGCTCCTTTAAAATAATCCCTTAGTCCTTCATTGAGAGAAATAGAGAACCATGAATTAGTGATACAGCTCTGTATCTATCCTATAAACTACTTTGGCAGCATAGCTTTTGACTATCTCCTGTGACATCAATACATTATCTGTGATGCTTTTCCCCTTTATAAAAGCACTTTGGCTCTAGCTGATTATGCCAGGTAGAATTTTCTTTAATCTACAGCCAAGATCAGCCAAAATCCTAGTATTGTATTTGTAGATTATAGAACGGCAAGAGATAGGTTTATAATCCTTAATGCTGCTGGGAGTCTTACCCTTAGCGACTAAAGCAACAATAGTAGGGTTAAAAGACCGGCAGCATGTTACCAATTTGAAAAAATTGCATTATAGCACTGTAAACATCTTCATCGACAATCGACTAGGTCTTCTTGAAGAAATGGGCTGTAGACCTGTTCAATCTAAGAGATTTCTCACAATTAAGTGAAAACATAGCGTCTTTAATTTTTTCTTTTGTGACAGGCCTGGTTATCATATTCTGCTCTTCTTATAACAGTGTGCTCTGTATCAGCTCAACCAAAAGCTCATATTGCAAACTACAACATTCTTATCTGTTGTGCCTAAAGCTTTTAAAAATAAGAGATTATTCCTGCATGATCTGAGAGTATGTATCCAGCCTGTTCCCTTCTGCATCAACTAAGATTGTTATAGTATTCCTTATTTATAGTGTTGCTACCATCTTAAGAATGAATTTAGTATTCTGATCCCCCCTTTCAACCATCTTATTCTAGATTTTTGCTTAAAGAAGTTCTCTTCTGCTTTCATCAATACTGTAAGCTCTTTAAATAGATTTCTCTCCCTCTTTTTCAAGTCTTTTGAAAGATTTTAAGATAGCATGACTGTTTGAATTTGGCCTAGATCATCCCTTTTGGCATGCACTATTGTAGAAAGATAACCATGGCAGTTTCGATTGAACTTCTTTAACTCCATTTTTGACCTTTTGAGTTTCTTATGTAGCGCGTTCATAGATTGCCTGAAATAGGGACTTACCATGAGCTCTCCATAATCTTATTGAACTCCACTTTTTCAGTCCAAAAATTAACAATTTTGAATAGTTTTGCATGTCAATGGTTGACCATGCTTAGCTTGATATAAGCTGCACAGTGGTCCAAGACCTCAGGTGCTAAAGTACTCCACATGAGACTGTAAATAAACTAAAAGCCAAGAATCGTTTATGATAACTTTATCCAGCCTCCTTGCTAAATGATTTTGTTGATTATTTGTCTAAGTTGGGCCTTGTAGACACATGATTAAGTGTCATAATGTAGATTATGAATCTACCGCTAGATATAACCTTAGAGTCACTCCCAATTTAATCTTGTTTATGTGTGATTGGTCACTTAGGTAAATTTATTACTTTGAGAATGTCTTAAGCTTAATTAAAGATCTCTAAAAGAATATGTTCTAATCTGCATTTTAAAACTAAGTTCGGGGATTTGGTTATGTATAAAGAAAGTTGTAACACTTTTATATGACAATACCAATTTATCTTAAATTATCATAAAAATCTTAGTTTAAATGGTCTTTTGTTTTGTTAAATTTTGGCATATAAATATTGGAAATTACTTTCAAATTTTCTCCATCAATCTAACAAAATTCTTAAAAATTTTTTTCTTTTTCAAGAGTATTCAAGAATCATATTTATTTTCTTGAAAAAGCTCCATTATCAAAAAAATATTAAATCAGTTGTTTTATTTAATATTTTCTTTTAGAATAAATATATAAATTTTTTACCATTTGGGTTAAATTTAGAATTATTTTCTTATATAGAAATTTCTTAGAAAATTGCTTATATGTGATTATTAAAAATTTTGACATCAAACTTATTCTTTGTTTACAATTTTAATTTTTAGACTAAAAATAAATGTCAATTATCTTTATTGAAATCTTATCTAAAATCTTCTACCTTTTATGATGAATTTAAAAAATTTCTCACTCAGAAAACTCAAAAGGAAATCATTCATTTGTAGTTTTCCTAGGATTTCATCATTTGATAATTACCATATACTTTTTTTAAAAATTATAAGTTATATTCTTTGCTTTGATTTGAAAAAGAATGTAATTATTTTTGTTGAAGTTTCATTTAAATTATTTTACCATTTGAGTTAATTTTAAAAAAATTCTTCACCTAAAATTTCTTAAAAAATTAATCATTTGAAATTTTTAAGAATTTTATTATTGGATAATTGTTATTCATTCCCAAAATTTTATAAAGTTTGTCATTATTATTTTTTACTTTGAAAATAAATTCTAATTATTGTTGTTGAAATTTTTTCTAAATTTTTTGTCCATTTGTGTCAAATTAAAAAAAAAATCTATCATTTAGAAATTTCTTAAAAAATTATCCATTTGTAATTTTTAAAAATTTCATCATTGGATAATTATCATTTATTTTTCAAAATTTTGTTAAAGTTTTATTTTAGCTTTAATTTATTTTTATTAATCAAATTAATAATTTTATGTAATCTTAAAAATTCCTACCCTAAGTAAAATATGATAAAAATAATATAAAATGAACCAATTAAAACACAATTAATAAAAATAAACAAATAAAATAAAAATCTATAGTACGAGTAAGATCAAGTTGATGCTTGGGTAATTGAGAATCGTTATCATAATCTAAAGATATCGTTGAAATCTTCACTAGGACCTTTAGTGCTCGTAGGAAATTGTCATTGTAATCTAAAAATCTTGTCGGAGTTTAAGAATCTCGTCAAACACCCACTAGAAACTAAAAAAAACCTAATTTAAATTTGAACTACCTAAAACATTTTTTGCTCTTAAAATTTCTAAGTGATTATTGTTATGTTTTGTTGTATTGCTTGTAGTATTATTTTTAGAGAAAATTAAGAGAGTTTTTATAATTAAAAACTCTGAATTATCACAAAAAAAGTTACAATTTGTCCTTAAGAGTTCTAACTTAATTCTAACTTTAATACAACTTGAATTATCACATGGATTTTTTCTATTCCCTTAGTTTTATCACCAAACTTTTTCATTTAATTTCTTTTTTTTTTTTCATATAATTAGATAATTATAAGCAAGAATAAGATAAGAAAATAAAGAAACAAATAAACAAATAAAGATAAAAAAGAAGATAAATAATAAAGATAAATAACAAGAAAAGAAAAGATAAATACAAAAGATATAATAGAAAAATAAAAATAATAAAAAGATAAAAATAAAAAAATATAAATAAAAATCTTAAATTTAACAATTGAATTTGAAACAAGTCTGAACTCAATTAATTTGAACTCTGGATTAAATAATGGGTCTATATCGAGCAATGTTGTTTGTGTTAAATAGTTTTGAAAATCTTTCATTTCAAAAGTGAGTGTTTGATTGTCATTGTAATATGAATTCACATTAAATTAAATAAGATTCAATTATTTTTATTAATATATAATAATATAAATTTTTAAAATTTAAATAGAATTCAAATGGACCTCTTAAGAAATCAAATTTTATTGATTGAGTTTTATTTATTGATATTTAAAAATTATTTTTTAGTAATTGTTTTCATATTATTTTTTACATATTTAAACAAATTTAAATATAGATAATTATTTTTATTTTAATAAATTTAAAATTCATATAAAAACTAATAAAAAATAATTTAACTGATTCAAATATTTTTTATTTTTGATTTTCATAATCTAAAATCGATTTAAATTGAATTAAAATATTTAATATCTAATCCAAATGAAATTGAATCCATGATTTTTGAATTTTTTCGATTTTTCTCCGTTTGCCTTCGGCTGTACGTAAAGCCCAACCAAGTATCGGTATTGTCCATCTGCTAGAAGCTCACTCTATGAGGAAGAATGAGGCCCAAAGCCTTTGTTTTAGCTTTTCTCTCCGCCAGTCAACTGTTAAATTCAGAATAATTCCCCATTGACAGTCTCTACTCTCTTCTCTCGCCTCTTGCCATAGCTTTTCTTCACCGAGATATAGAATTATGTTTTTCTTTTTATCAAAATTTTTTTGAGTATTTTGTATCAAAATTTGATCTTTGCTTAAACTTTTGAATTTAAAATTTTCCTTCTATTTTTCGTCTCCTTTACTTTTCCTGATATCCGATCATTTCCAATCGTTTATGTTTTGCCCCTCTTTCTTCATCCAGAGCTGACAGCTGGAAAAAGTTTTTCATTTTTGGTTTTTGTGTTTGAAAATTGGAGAAAATTCAAAGTAATGCGTTGTGAAAATTCTAATAAACAAAAGCATTTTTAAATAAGTAAAGAAAGGAAAAAAATGACAGAAATGGATCCATCGAAGAAAGTCGCGGATAGGTATTTGAAGCGCGAGGTTCTTGGTGAAGGTACTTACGGTGTTGTCTACAAAGCCATTGATACCAAGGTAACCCTAACTTTCTTTTTTCCTTTATTTTTCAAAAGCGTTTAAAATTGAGGATAGAAATAGATTAATTAGGTTTTTCATAGTATAAATAAAGTGCATAATTATCCTTTTTCTTTTTCTTCCTGGGTAAATTGTAAGCATCTGATAATTTTTTACTTTGCTATTAAATATTTTTAATAAAATTATTTGTGGCTTAATTGGCAGAAGTAATTGAAGAAAATTCTAGGTTTCCTTTGAGCTAAAAAAAAAAAAAAATCTAATTCGACTATAATTTTTATGTATAAAATAAGATAACGCATTTTGTTCTCTAAGAAGTTACAATTTTAAGTTTTAATCATTCAAAAAATTTTTCTTTGTGCTGCCCACATTTAAAAACTGATAGTATTTGCTTTTGGTTGCCAAATGCGCTTTTTGTGAAGTAGCAAAAGCAACAATAACATTAGGCATCTCCAGTTTTGAGATTAATAGTTTGTTCAACTGTTATGAGATTAATTATTTGCTTTTTTGGTCCGTTGCAGACAGGGCAGACAGTTGCAATTAAGAAAATTCGGCTTGGGAAGCAAAAGGAAGGGGTGAATTTTACAGCGCTTAGAGAAATTAAACTTCTTAAGGAGCTTAAAGATCCGAATATAATCGAGTTAATAGATGCATTCCCACATAAGGGTAACTTGCATCTTGTGTTTGAATTCATGGAGACTGACCTTGAAGCTGTTATTCGAGATCGGAATATATTCCTCTCACCAGCTGACATCAAATCCTACATTCAGATGACTTTGAAAGGGCTTGCTTTTTGCCACAAGAAATGGGTTTTACATAGGTTTTGTTTTTGTCTGGCCTTAGTCTCATTTTATGGTTGGTTCTTCCTAAATTGCTTGACTTGTTATTGTGCTTTACAGGGATATGAAGCCGAATAATTTGCTGATTGGACCCAATGGACAACTTAAACTTGCTGACTTTGGTTTAGCACGCGTATTTGGGAGCCCAGATCGTAAGTTTACTCACCAGGTAAGCTTATAGCTGTCAAGTGGTGTTTTTAATTGTATCTGTACACTAACTAATTGGTTCTTTGAGTAAAATCTTCCTTTTTCCCTCCATGATTTTATAAATTTCTGTTATATCTTGAATTAGTATTTTCTTCTAGGAATAACATTTCCTAGTGGCAGTGCTAACTTGCTAACCTAAGTGTACAGAGTTGATCATCACAATGAAAACTCCCTTGTTTTTCATAAGCACTATATTTCTGTGGGAGAAGTTTAGAAACTGGGATTATATTTGTTGTTGTTTCCAGTTTTATCTTCTAGTTTATTTTACATTTTGGCTTGATTAGTTATGCCAGCATTTGGTTTTTACACAAAACATGCATGCTGTTTTCCCAGTAAATATCCATTGATATGCTGCATTATATCCATCATTGGTATCAATAGTTTTTGGCACTGATGTGTTATTGTAGTATTTTAAAGCAAACATGCAAATGTTGTTGATTTTATGGAGAGGCACTAATAACATCAACAACAATGTGTTGTCCCATTGATTCTATGTTCTTTTCTTCACATTCTATGCAATTTTTTTTTATTGGTTTAGAAGGCCACTTATTTTTATTATTATTTCAACATCTACTCCCTTTGAGCAGTTATATTGTTATGGCATTTGGTCATGGATTGTTCTTTTCTGTTTTGCTTTTCTCATCTGTCAATTGGAAGCTGTAAATTTTATCATCCTTTTGGATTCAACGTACTTATGAATCCATGGAATGATAAATAGGTCTTTGCTCGATGGTACAGAGCTCCTGAGTTACTTTTTGGTACCAAGCAATATGGTGCTGGCGTGGATGTTTGGGCGGCTGCCTGTATATTTGCTGAACTTCTCCTACGACGACCATTTCTGCAGGTGAACCTATCTTTCTTCAGTGCTTTTGATATTTGCAGAATTGTTTTTTGGTTCTTCAAGTTATATGTTAGTCTTTATATTTCTGCTCTATGCTATGCAGCATTCTTTCAGATCTTAAATGATGATGTGAGGATTGGATCTCATTTTCCGCTTTCCGCTTTCTTCATGTTGCCTTGCTGAAAACTATCTTCACCGTCATTAAGCTTTAACCATAATTATTGGTTACTAACAATGCTGTAATATGGTCATCAGTAACTGTTGTTCATTTAGTTTTTGTTCAACTATAGGTTACTTAATTCCCTTTTTAGTTCCCTAGAGAATGTTCACTTGTTTGATTTCTCACGCCTATTCATGGTATTATTCACATAAGAATCACTTTAGAATGGGCTTATACAATTAAACCCCTGGTACAATACTCTATCAACCTGCATTTCTCCATCAGATAAAAAGTATGCATGCTGTTTAAGGATGACAATTATATGCTACAAATTTGTCAAAAAAGTGAATCGTTGTATGGAATTCATGTTTGCAATAGAATTTTAGGTGCTTGGTTACCAAATCAAAGCTTATAGATGATTAATTGAAACCATTTTAATGGTGATTGTTTGTGGCTTGGCTATACTTGATAAGCATTTGGTTTTAGTTTTACGAAGCAAAATCTTTGGTCGTGCACAAAGTGCAACAATGTGATGTCTCTGTCCTAGCTTGTGAGATGTCCATCAGAAATCTTGTTTTCATAGTTCTGGTACCTTTTATTGTTTTGTGATTGATCTTATGTTTAGCATATCTTAGATATGCTTCTTCATCCTTTGAAATGTTTAAGTGTTAACTTTTTGTTGCATTATTCCAAGCAATATTCAATTTGCAGGTCTTGGTGTAAATATGGATTATTACATGGAGTTTGCTGACAAATATTTGCCATTAGTTGAACTTTATTATTATCCTAGCATGTGAAAATGTTAGTAGTTATTTTGACAAGCTCATATTTGGTTTGTCATTTTCAGCTTTCCTTTTCTCATTATGTACCTATATGTCTTCAATTTGAAGTATCATTCTTGGTATATTTTCTCATTTTCAAATTTCATTGGTTCAACATTTATCATTTGATAGGGCACAAGTGACATTGATCAATTAGGAAAGATCTTTGCAGCTTTTGGGACTCCAACATCTTCTCAATGGCCAGATATGGTATACCTTCCCGATTATGTAGAATACCAATTTGTTCCTGCACCACCTTTGCGCTCATTGTTTCCAATGGCCAGTGATGACACTTTAGATCTGTTATCAAAAATGTTCACTTATGACCCAAAAGCTAGGATTTCAGTGCAGCAAGCATTAGAGCACAGGTGTGTGAAACTTTTCAGTTAGAAATATAAAGAGAATGTTTGGTTTTTTTTTTCTTATGTTTGGTTTTTTGTTCAGGTATTTTTCATCTGCGCCTCTACCTACAGATCCTGCTAAACTCCCTAGGCCTACTCCTAAATCGCGAGTGTCAGATATTAATCCCCAGGATGGTCCCACTGTCCTTTCTCCCCCACGAAAATCGAGGAGAGTAATGCCAGATCGTGAGAGGTTTGAAGGTAATTCCAACCTTGCAGAGAAGATTAATGAGTGTGATGGTGAAGTGAGACAGGCAGTTGGTGACGTTGCAGGAAAGAAAGAACATGTGCCAACATCAGTAGATTTTTCAATCTTTGGCTCAAAACCTCTGAGTAGACCTACAATTAACAGGTAAGGCAACAGTTATTGTGTGGTCATTTTATAAAGGTTTTTCATCCTTTATACTCTCCTCAAAAGCATTTTATGTGATTCAAATGTGCAACATGTAGTTCAACTTGAGAATGGAGTAACAATACTATTAAATGCAATCGTTTTCACATAATAGAGTCACCACCTGTCAAAGTTGGTTAAAGAAATCATATCAAGAGTGTTAAGTCTTTATCAAGGGTATCCTCTTGATTAAAATTCCTCACTTTGTAAGTTCAGGTATCAAAAGTGTAATTAACTCATTTCTTTATATAAATATTTGTTATTATTTGGTTACGCCTAAAGGGTTATGATATTATACATTAGTCATATTCTGAAATGGACATTTTTTATAGTCTTCTCTTTGTAGTATTTATGATATAAATGGGGATGAGATCATAATTACCCACTGTTATTGCTGTGTATATATAATTAATAAAATGATGCATCTTAATGGATCCTACATGCTGCTCTTTATTATATAAGAGTATACTTTACAATGACTTTTTATCCAACAATTCTTGCAAAAAGTATCAAGGAATTGTCTTCCTGCAATTCTATTTTACTGGATGTTACAATAAGCTGGTTGTAACCAATGCCTTCGCATTGGATATGATAATCACACTATATTGATGCATTCTGGTCAAAATTTTTATGAATGAAATTTGAACCTTTGAAGGCATCTTTAGTACTTTTTAGACACTTCTAAATATATTAAAGGTACATTTTGAACCTTAAGATATAGCTCTTATGCATAGATTGAAAACAAGATTTTACTTAAATGCGCATTGGATGAGATTTTAGAAAAGTTTCTACTTTTGTTTCTGAAACAATCTTTCTGAAATTTCTGACTGTAAGTGTGGAAACTGAATGTATATTGAAAAACTGTTATCTACAATTATACAAGAATCTTAGGTTTATATACAACTAACTAGGGGTTAAACTAGGAAACTAAATCTTCCTTAATTCTAGGGATACAAATACTTAATTCTAGAGATACAAATATAAATATACAGATTACAAGATTACAACCAGCTGTAAATAAGTGTTTTCCCACACTCCCCCTCAAGCTGGTGAATAGGTGTTTTCCATTCCCAGCTTGGAAATAATTTCTTGAAATGTTGCACTGCTGAGACCTTTAGTCAACACATTTGCAAGTTGACCCTTGGTTGATACATAAGGTGTACAAATCAACCCACTGTCTAGTTTCTCCTTTATGAAATGCCGGTCTACTTCAATGCGTTTTGTTCTGTCATGTTGCACAGGATTGTGTGCAATGCTTATTGCAGACTTGTTATCACAGTAGAGTCTCATTGGTCCATCCCACTTGATCTTCAAGTCTTCTAGGATAATCTTTAACCATAGTAGTTCACAAATTCCTTGAGCCATTGCTCTGAACTCTGCTTCAGCACTTGATCTTGCCACCACATTCTGTTTTTTACTCCTCCAACAAGATTACCACCTAAGAAAGTGCAGTAACCTGAGGTAGATCTTCTATCAGTTACTGAACCTGCATAATTAGCATCTGTATATGCTTCTAGAACTAACCCCGAATCTCTTTGGAATAAGATACCTCTCTCAGGATTGGCCTTCAAATAGTGCAATATACGGTAGACAGCCTGTAGGTGCACTTCTTTAGGACTATGCATAAATTGACTTACCACACTCACAGCATATGCTATATCAGGTCTAGTATGTGAGAGATAAATGAGTCTTCCAACTAATCTTTGGTACATCTCTCTATTTACAGCAGCATCTTCATTAGTTTCTCCAATTTTATGATTAGGATCTATAGGGGTATTTGTAGGTTTACATGCAAGCTTCCCAGTTTCCTTCAGAAGATCCATCACATATTTCTGTTGTGAGATAAAAATACCATGCCGTGAGTGAGCTACTTCAATTCCTAGGAAGTACTTCAATCTCCCTAGCTCTTTTATCTCAAATTCTCTAGCCAAACACTGTTTTAGAGATTCTCTCTCTTTTTCATCATCTCCAGTTTACAATTATATCATCAACATACACTAATAGAACTGTGACTCTCCCTGAATCAGAGTGCTTGATAAACAATGTGTGATCTCCTTGACTCTGTTATATCCCATTGCTAGCATCACTTTGGCAAATCTCCCGAACCAAGCTCTAGGAGACTGTTTAAGGCCATATAAAGCCTTTTTTAACCTGCATACTTTGTTTGCTTCTAGATGACCTTCAAATCCCGGTGGAACCTTCATATATATTTCTTCTTCCAAATCACCATGTAAAAAAGCATTCTTTACATCAAATTGTTGAAGCTGCCAATTGTAATTTGCAGCTAATGATAACAAAATCCTAACTGTATTCATCTTGGCAACTGGAGCAAAGGTTTCCTGGTAATCCACTCCATAGGTCTAAGTGTAGCCCTTAGCCACTAACCTGGCTTTATATCTTTCAACAGTACCATTTGCCTTGTATTTTACAGTGAAAACCCATTTACACCCCACTGGATTTTTTCCTTTAGGCAACTCTACCAGTTCCCATGTCTGATTTTTCTCTAAGGCCTCCATTTTTATTTTCATGGCTTGCCTCCATTTCTCACTGGATAATGCCTCGGATAATGTAGTTGGAACAGAAATAGTGTTTAGGCTCACAAGAAAATTTTTGTGGGATGGTGAGAATTTGTCAAATGACACAAAATTAAATATTGGGTATAGTGGATGCTTGGTACATTCTCTGGTTCCTTTCCTAATGGCAATAGGCAAATCATAATCACTAGTTATAGTTTTAGGAGATTCATGCTCATTTTGAGAACAGAGTCAAAAACTGTAGTTACCTCATTTCCAGAGTTAGGATCAGGTTCTTGGACTGGTACTGGTTCAGGATCTGGAACTTTCCTTCTTGAGTACACCTGTAATTCCTTCATAGAATCAAGAACAATATTATCCTTTGTCACATCTTTCGTATTTGGAATGGGTTCAGACTCAAATTCAATGTTTGACTTGGGCTCAGCAGAAACAGGTTATGACTCATAAGAATTAATGGGTGTAAATGTTGAAGAAGGGGGCCAATCAAGCAAAAAGAAGTCTTTATCCTTATCTTCCATGAATGAAGTCTCCCCCTAAGATAAGGTTGAGTAAAAAATGGTTTATTTTCTTCAAAAGTGACATCTGCAGACACATAAAATTTTTTGGTAGGAGGATGATAGCACTTATATCATTTTTGAGTTGAAGAATACCCCACAAAAATACACTTAATCGCTCTTGGATCCAACTTTCCCCTGTTATGACTGTGAACATGAACAAATGATGTACAACCAAATATCCTAGGTGTGAGATTGTTTGTGGTATTGAGGTTGGGATAAAATTGTGAGAGTAGTTCCATAGGAGTTTTAAATCCCAAAACTCTTGAAGGTAACCTATTTATAATGTGTGTGGCAGTGAGAACAGCTTCCCCCCAATAAGATTTAGGTACATTTGCTTGAAAAAGAAAGGCTCTGGTTGTGGCTAATAAATGACTGTTTTTTCTCTCTACCACTCCATTCTACTGTGGAGTATTAACACAAGATGACTCATGGATAATCCCTTCTTTTTGGAAATAGGTGGATAGACTCTGGTTGAAGTAGTCTTTTGCATTATCAGACCTAAATCTCTTGATTCTTACTCCAAATTGATTTTGGATCATGTTTTGGAAGCTTAAAAACACACTATTCACATCTGATTTGGATTTAAGTAAAAAAACCCAAGAGACCCTAGTACAATCATCTATGAATGAAACAAACCATCTCGCACCAGAAATATTAAAAATTGTAGAGGGACCCCAAATGACACTATGAATCAAGAAAAAAGGAGTAGAACTTCTTTTGTTATTGATTGGAAAAGACACACGTCTATGTTTTGCAAATTCGCAAATATCACAATGAAAATCTTCAACATTTAATTCTTTGAACAAAGAAGGAAACATGTTTCTCAAGGTTCCAAAAGAAGGATGTCCAAGACGAAAATGATAAAGCCAGATTTTGTCTTTATTGGAAGATTTTTCAGAAAGAAATGATAAAGGTAAACTATTTTTGATACTACTTGTGTTATTTAATGTCTCAAGATAGTATAGTCTATCCTTCTCCTTAGCAAGTCCAATCATCTTCGCCGAACTCTGGTCCTGAAATTCACAATAAGAGGGATAAAAAGTTACTTTGCAATTCATATCTCTGGTAAGTTTTTGTATAGATATTAGATTAGTAGACAATCCAAGAACATGAAGAACATTTTTGAGAACAAACGAGGGATTAACTTGAACATCTCCTAATCCTGCCACTGTGGTAAGTGAACCATCAGCAACAACAATTTTCTTATTACTAGGACATAGGTTATATGTACTAAACTTTTGTGAGGAATGTGTCATGTGGTCTGTGGCTCCTGAGTCAATGACCCAAGAACTCGTAATAGGCTTAGCCGAGACATTTAATCCATGAGAACCGGAAGCTTTACTTGAACTAGAAACTTTACCCAAAAAACATACCATAGCAGGCTTTTCAAGGATTTTCAATAAGTTTCTCAGCTTTTCAATCTCTTCCCTGTTGAACTTTCCTTGTTTCTGAGACATCTGTAGTACTCCAGTGATTTTCCCAGTTAACATTTCCTCAAATTGGGTGATAGTGATATCTTTCTTTGAAAGGGTTCGGCAATGAAGGCCTAAACAGGATTCGACAATGAAGGCCTAAAAAAGTCGACAATGAAGGCCTGAAAAAGTCGGCAATGAAGGCTTAAAAATGTCGGCAATGAAGGCTGAAAATTTTTCTTCCCAAGAAGAGCCTAAAGCTCTGATACCATGTGGAAACTGAATGTATATTGAAAAACTGCTTATCTACAATTATACAAGAATCTTAGGTTTATATACAACTAACTAGGGGTTAAACTAGGAAACTAAATCTTCCTTAATTCTAGGGATACAAATACTTAATTCTAGAGATACAAATATAAATATACAGATTACAAGATTACAACCAGCTGTAAATAAGTGTTTTCCCACAGTAAGATATTGTCCATTTAATAAAGCAAAGGCTTTAATATGGAAAGTGGAATAATTTATTAGGAAATCCCTTTCTCTGTATAATAAGTTTCGAAGAATCCCCATGTTGTATGTTACTCTATCCTTGTTCATTGTAGCCTGTATCATTGTTGATTACCTTTCTCCCATTTACTACTTGGATAAATACAGGGTAATGAGGCTCAAGTTATGGACATTAGTCCCGGTCAATATTGGCTTAAAGCAAACAATTAGTCTGGTGTTTTTGGTAAATCTTGCCTATATTCAAAAGGATTAAAGGTTACTCAAGTACATGGGTCAAAATATAAGTAATAATAAGTTTTAAACTGAATGTTGCACAGTTGCATACAATAGATTTTTTTTTTCTCTAAAATCATTATTTTTAATTTTGTGTATGCATCATAAAGTTTTCCTGTATTGGGTTCATTTTGCATACTGTCAAGAAAATTTAGATTTGTGCTTTGTTGTATCTGCCATAAAAAGTCCAGATTTAAACAATCTAGTTGGAGTAAGACCTTTGGGGTTGTTGGATTGGCTTTGTATGTTTATAATGGGAGTTAGCTGCGTCTTCTACTTTCTCATTTACTTTGTCTGCTTGTGATCTTTATGTGGTCTTTGGCTGCCTAATTGTATTTCATTTACTTTTATTCTCTCATTACCAGTTACCACTATAGACGAGGCTTGTTTTTTCTGGTGTAATTCATCATGCATAACTATGCTCACTAGATTATATATTGTATGTGTCCCCACTTAGAGTTGGACAAGCCAGCTTTTCTAGTTGGAATTTTTATGTTTCTGATTTTGTGGCTGGTAAAGGTAGGTGTGGAAGAGGACAGGGCTGAAGGATGGGGAGTTAATTTAAAGCCTTTCAATGCCTTAATTAATATAGTAAATCAATTGAAACATTTATTCACCAGAATTTATTTGTGTTTAAATTTGATGATTTTACTGTTAAGATATCTCTAGTCCTATATATTGTTCCTTTCAAGCTCCGATTTGAATCAAACAGACATTGAATGTTTGCTGTTTCTCTTTTCCTTTTTGCTTTTTGGAAATTTACTTTGAATTCTGTTCTACCAAAAGGAGGCCTTGTAAAATATTAGGTAGGGATTATGATCATTTCTGACATTTGGCAGAAATTTAAGCTAAATATTCCAAATGATCATTTGAAATATAGAAGATGATAAAGCTTCTAAGTGAAAATATTATCTTAAAAGATCTAATCAAAGTGGCAAATTCTTTAACTTGGGGGTCTGCTATGGGTGTTCTTGTGATCTGCATCTTCTCATTTTAGATAATTTTGTGATGGTTAGGGTTTCTTAGTCATTGCACTTAAAAATGCGATATCTAGATTGGGTCCTTTGTAAAGGAGGTCCAGCATGGAATTTAACGTCTTCCTGGTTCCTTTTTCATCTTCTCTGGAATGGAGCGGAAAAGGAGGAAAAATGGGTTGGGTGGGAAAGGTGAAAAGATGGGGAGTGGGAAGAAAAGTCATTACCATCCACTTTTGATGTTACTTATGTTAAATTATCTGATGTTTGTTATGACTAGGTCTCTTTGCACCTGAAAACAATAAAAAGAAAAACACTGAGTTGATTCTTTAACTGTTGTTATGCAGTGCTGATAGATCTCATCTGAAGAGGAAACTTGATCTTGAATTCCAACACAATGAATAAGAAAAATCTACATATTTGTATCTGAGAATTTTTTATGGTTATGTTTCTGCTGCACGGCTATTTATGAGCTATATGGTGACTTCTTGAAGTTTCTGTTATCCATTTTCTATATTTGGGACTGGGGTTTTTATTGGTCGGTATCCTCCCTTGATATCATGAAGAAGCAGTTAACGTTGAAGCTGAGGATTATTATTTTTGAGAGGATTTTCTTCGGCTTGCAAAAGACTGTAAAGGAAGAAACATTTTGACGAAATCTGTATTAGCCCATAGAAGGCAAAATTTTGAATATAACTTGTTCTACCTATAACAGGATGAGGAAAAAAAAAGAAAAAAGCATATCCAACAAGAAGAGGGAAAAATTGATATTTGCTGCTTGAGAACAGCTTGGTGGTTCAGGTTGATAGAAAGACCCAACTTGATCTGTTATTATTTATGTTGTTCTGGGTGAAGGGCAGCACGAGGGGATGAACCAAGTTTTAGTGTCACGTCTTACCTTAATGTCTTGTGTGTTTGCACATGTTTTGAGATGAGTGAATAATATCTTTGATTTATATCGTATGCTTGTTTAGATAATTGGATGGGCATATTGTTGCAGGTTGTGGGTTTATTGGGTCAATCTATTTCCGCATGTGATGATTTTTTTTTATTTTTTGCGCGAATGTCACTTAGCATGTGTGTAGCTAATGTATAATGTAGTAAGTAGGAAAGTGTCTCAGTAAATGTGAATGATCTGGATGACAGAAGAAAATATATTATTACTAGTATATGTGAATGTTTTGTGTGAAAGAAGAGAAGTGTATGCACATAAAATCACTCGAGTGTATTTTGGTGTCAGATGCCTTGAGCAACAGTTCATTAGGTTTTTTTTTTTTTTTTTTTTTGGCAATTAAGATAAAATTTGTCATTATATAATAATTCGGTCTTGATTTTTACTATTGTATTTAAATTTTACTGAATTTTATTAGTGTTTTTAATTTTGTCTTTTAGATAAAAAATAGAATTGAAATATCAAATTTTGTCATTGATTTTTTTAATTTCTTGAAATTTTAAACAAAAATAGTATTGATGAAAATGATAAATTTTCGTTAATTCTATTAATTTATATAAAAAATACAAAATTATAATTATAATCTCAAAATTCAGCTATATAGTGGTAAAATTTAATATTGACTTATAAATGCAATTTTAATCTCTTTTTTTTTTTTTTATAGTTTCTCTTAGCTGTTTTAAAAAATCTATATTGTTATAAAATGTTTTATCACTGGATCGCACAAGCCATGAGAAAGTCTAAAGTCTATTTGGTTAACCGTTACCGCTTAAAAGATGAAGGCCAATTTTCTGAAATAAGCTTTGGAGTTGAGAGATATAGATTTAGGTTTTAGTTAGTTAAATTACGAAAAAGATAGTAAGGTTTAGTTTATCAATACTGTTGAAAATAACTTTTGTATTTAAAAATTGATTTCGAATTAACATCAATGCTAAATAATTAAAAAATATGATTTTTCAGTTTAAAATTTTAATTTGTAAATTCAAATAAAAAAGCATCTTAGGTGGTTTTTTTTGAAATAATGTACTTGGGATAAAAAATGCATTTTTGTAATTATGATATTAAGGTATAATAATAAAATGATATTTTAATAATTTTTTAAAAAATTATTTAATAAAAAATTATAAAAAAAAAGATACTTTCAAAATTATAATATGAGAATATAATAATAAATTAATTACATGTTATTTTTTTATCAAATAAAAAGAAAGGCATTTTGATGGTTTTCTAAAAGATTATTTTCTTATGGTATAGATGTATTTTTAGACATTTTATCTCTTCACAATATTTTTTTCAATAATATAAACACTAAAAAAAAAAAAATCTCAAAATAACGTTTTTAATATTTTAAAATTTTCACACCACTTTTTATATCGCCAACAACCAAAGCAAAATGAGAATAGCCCAACTCTGTGTTGTTGCCGTATAGTTCAACTTCAGTACTGGGTGTAGGGCAGTAAGGTTTGAGCTTCATGATAAAGCATTGTCCACCTTCGCAAGTACTTTAGATTCGTGGACTCTTTGCATAGCTTTTTTCGCCTAAGACCAACAAAAAAAGGTTTGCAATTAGTCAAGAACATGGTTATGAAATAGCTAGGTGCGGAAAGAGAGGAAACCAATGCTTTTACTTCTTGCTCCCAATCAGTGCGAAACGTAATTATCAAAGAAAAAGCATTTGAGTGATGAGTGCGCCGATGATGCCAAGCCACAGCCTCTATGATTAACCGGTTAATAGTTTATGAGTAAAACCACATTTCATAAATTGAGAAAGACAAAAGGCATAATAAACAAGAGTAAGTGACTGAAGAGATTTGATACCTTGCCACCGATTCGGACGACAAAAGCTAATACAATAGACAAAGGAATGCCAACAAAGATAATAGGATCCTAGATTGATGTATCTGTCTATAAATATAATTGATCGAGTTTGAATCAATATAATATTAAATTTAAATTTGAATTTGATTCGAAATTTAAAATTTGAATTTTAATTTGAATTTGATCGAGTTTTTTGTTTTAGCTCGAATTTAATTCGATATATAAATTAAATTACTCGAGCTCGTTTGATTAAGTTTGATTAACATGTAAAAATAAAATTAATTTTTATATTAGATAAAAACTCGATTGTTTGTGTCTGAGCCCGAGCTTGAGTTCGAAATAGTTTATTAATTAAAATAATTAAAATATATTAAAATATAAAAGCTCGATTAAGCTCGCGAGTTACTCGAACTAAATATAAAAATACTCGAAGTCGACTCGATCGATAAATTAAGTTATATGAGTTCGAGCTCGATTAAATAATAATCGAATTAAATTTAAATTTTATTTGAATCAAACTCGAATAATTTATGAATATTAATGTATTATATATGTGCCTATCTTCTGTTAGCCACCCTCAGGCAATGCCTAAATGTTCACAAATGTATGTTACCAGCCAATCAGCAACTGAATATCAATTCACCAGCAACACAACATGGTAGAAGAATTATTTTCCAAGATCATCTCATGGTTGTTAATTCCTGGTGCATTTGATATTGTGAAAATGTATTTTCTTGAGATACCGATAACAATCTTTACCAACAAATAGAATGCCAAGAGGTATCTTACTCAAATTCAGGGGGTGAGTGTCGGATACTAATGCGTGTTGGACACAATAGTTCCTTAATTTTTTTTTAATAGTTTTTCCATATATTTGGGGGGTTGAACCCCGGAACTCATCCGGCGGATGTGTCAGACAATTGTACTTGAAGAAAAATGAAGACTTGTAGCAACATAGGTCAGGAGCCAGTCAGGACTTGTATACGTTATAGTGACAGTCTAGAAGAAGATGGGAAAACCAAAGTGGAAAAAAAGATAAAAGATACTGATGATATATTTAAAACTTGTAGGGGAAAACCTGAAAGAACACACGGGACTCCATCTATTAAGTTGGACGTAGCAAGAATTGGAATCATAGCTGTAACATATCTGATGACTTGTACATCATTACTATAAGCATAGCCCCAGATGTTGCGCAACAAAATCGGTACCAATCCCACCAAAATGCCCTGAGACACAGCCAGGACTAGGACTGCACTCACTGCCAAATGGGCCGCTTTTGGATCTTCAGCTCCTAATTCATTTGACACCCGAATGCTGCAATAACAAAACTACCAAAGATGTTAGCGGATAAGGATTCAGTCTAGTGCTTGGTAGAGGGATTGCTGCAAGTACACAACTTCACATCAAATGAGTCCCAATTAATATAATACTATAGCAGGATATTTTCATATTCTTTCTCTCATAAAATGGAAAATTAAACATTCTCTCATAAAATGGAAAATTAAACAAACTTTGAAACTTAAAAAGAAAAAATTCAATGAACGAACTCTGAAATTATTTGCCAATTTATGTAACTAAATTTCAAATGCCAGTAATGGTTGTTTCATGACTGACCTTGCAGCACTACTCAGTCCAAGGGGATCATCCATATAACTGCGTAGGCATTAATGCTGGGAACAATAAACACTGACTTCGAAAGCAAAAGAAGCCTTGAATAAAACTCAACTAAACTTATTGAGTAAATGAAGAATATGATGACAAATTTGGCCCCAACACTGACCAGATTGCAACCACAGATGTTTCTAACTCTGGTGGATTAGGAAGAAGACCGGAGAGAAAGACCAGTAGTTGAAAAGACCATGATTCCAAGCTGTTTAATACAGGAAAGTACTAAAAATTAACTTCCTTCTTTGCAAGTTGGCTATGTATCTCACAAATACATGATAGAACTTTATAAATATAGCAGAAAAAGAATGGCCTGTTGTCCATAGGCACTGACTGGGGTCAAAATCAGAAAAAATAAGACTATGATTAATATTAGAAATGTTTTCGTTTTTGAATGATCAGTGTCATAAACTATTCATTCATTTCTTTAACGTTTTGTTGATGGTTTAGAGCACTGAGATTTAGGAACTTGCCAGACCATTATGGCTGAAGGAACAGCTAATGTAAGGAAGGTAAAAATCTCATGCAAGGACTCCATTGAAAAACTAGTCCACATTTCAGCACAAGAGGGAGAGAGCTTAATATAGAATGCCAACAGTAACACATTGATCCAGTAGGGAACGGAGACTGCCTGAGCAGCACCTTTGTTCCCAAGGTCAAATCTAAACACTAGAATCTAATGTTGGGAATATGGACTCAAATCCCATTAAAAATTTGTTTAAGATTTTTTAGATATTACTGGATATATAAGAAGACTTGCAAAAGAAAAATTCTAAGAAAAAGAGGATTTCTTAATAGGTAAGTTTGACTTGTAAGAAAAAAATTCTAAAAGGAAATAGATTCTTAATAGGCAAGTTTGTATGATTATAAATAGGTGAAGTCTCTATAGGATTAAGTATGAGAAAAAGATGTAAGAGAGTTGTAGGATTTTGTGGGATAGACACCCTATAGGGGTATTTGGGCTTTACGTCTTATGGGTGTGTATGTTTGTTTGTGAGTGGACTGAGTAAACTGAGAGGGTCCACATAAATATGATGTATAAGAGCATATGGGTATGTATTTGATTATGTTGAAAGGGTACACAAGAGTTTGGGTTTGTGTTTGTTTGGGTTAAGAATACTTCGTAAGACTAGAGGAAATTGAGAGTGTCTTATGAGTATTGATTGTTGAATGAGGTTGATGATTAGATGTAAGTTTGTAATTCTCTACAACTAGTGGATCTTGTTTCTCATTCATGGATGGATGTCAGTTTGATCGAACTACGTTAAATTATTGTCTCTTGTGTGTTTGATTTATTCTTTGATTTTACTTCCACTGGTGTGATTGAATTGGAAGCTTTTAGCCCAACATCCAACACACAAAAATGTGTATTAAATTTGAGATTCCAGAGCTTAAGACCATTGGGAATAAATTGTTTTGGGCCCTTAGGAATCTGAGAGGGCACTGAAGAATAGCATAGGCAAACAGGCATGGGATCATGAAACAAGCATATACACCGGCTGCTTGCGAAATTTCATG